TTTTCACCTCCTGAAGATTTATTTGGGTGGTTGAAACAAGCAGATCAAAAGATGAGATATGTGCATTTAATTCATATCCTGCAAAAGTTTGTGTTAGTTGTTTGTCCACAAACAAACTCCAAGTCCCTCTAGCTGCTTTACGTTGGGTAATAATTCTTGATCATTTGCTGTTGCATCCTCAGGTTGTTAATCGATTGAATAATGGCTACGGACTTGCAGCCGATATATGGAGCCTTGGTTGCACTGTGTTGGAGATGTTAACAAGAAAAATTCCATACTCCCACTTGGAAGGGGTATGCATGAGATTTGCCTCATTATCTTCGATCTTTTCCTTGAAAGCTTGTGTTACTTTGGTGTTCTACTAATCTCGAAAGTTAAAAGAAACTGAAGCTATGAAGTATTGTGCCAAGTCATGTTCTATATCTTCAAATTAGGCTTAGGAGTTGAGGGGTACACATCTATTATACAATACAATAAGGTACTTTCTTAACCACAAGGGTGGTGCCTATTGGTTTGAGCTTGGCTCCAAAGGTCAAAAGTATCAGGAGGTCCCAGGTTCAAATCCAAGGAGGAATAAAAATCATCTTGTGGATGAGTTTTATCATATATATAGATATTAAATACTTAAAGAATAACACATTACATTTGCTTTTGGCTTATGTAATTTTACTTTTACTTGATGATCTATAAGATATGTCTTGTTTATCTGGTTTTATATTGATCTAATGAGAGCATTGCCTTTTGGTTTCACAGTTGCAAGCATTGTTCAGAATTGGCAGGGGTGAAGCTCCTCCGGTTCCTGACACGTTGTCTGTAGAGTCCCAGGATTTTATTCGTAAATGCTTACAAGTTAACCAAAATGACCGGCCAACTGCTGCTCAACTATTGATGCACCCGTTTGTCAAAAGAGAGCATCTATGAACCAAGGAACCGCTTCTCCATGCCGTGGTGGCATATGTTCATAGCAGCTACAAATAAGCCTCTCACAATCATAAAACAAGGCAAGTTCATCTCTATGTGATACTCTTTTGAGGTAGAAGCCAGGCCAAACTTGCATACATTCCACCTCGACCCCACCTCCAGGTGGGCTTTATTGTGCCCAAATGGTTTGGTTTTAGTTTTAGACGTCTTTGTTGCATCGAACACACTCCCTCTGACCCAAAATAAATGTTCACAATGAAAAAACACAGAGTTTTAGAAACATGTAATCATTACGCAGGTATACGCATTTACAAGGATGAGGAATTGGCTGTGGTTGGATGGCCTGGAGTTGAAGTTGGTGATCAAGATTCTCTTCAGATTGTAGTTCGCAGAGAAGGGTTGAAGATGGCTGAATAGCCACCCCAGTGACAGTTGACTTGTGGCTGATTGATTAATAAAATTATTTTATGATTATATTTATTTTAGCAATTTCAAAGGGATTTCTTATAAAATTCATTACTCCCTATGTTACTACTGAACATGAGTAAATACATACATAATTATTGTTAGAAAAAAGATGAGATGGATCTTAATTGCGTCGTTTACCTAAACACTTACCCGGTAAGCATTTACCGGTAAAATTCAACACTATCACTTACCTTACCTAACAAGACTTTAGTCAATCAAGACAACATTGTATGTAAAAATCTACCGGGTAAGAGCCGTCACCTGCACTTACCCGATAAGATTCTCGGTCCTTGCTTTCACTCTTACCGGGTAAGATTCTTGGTTCTTGTCATCAGAGGCGGATCCAGGATTTTTGTTCAGTGGAGCCACCTTGAAGGTAGACTAAAGGCCTGCAAAATCGTTTGATGTGTTTTCAACCTAATTACAACATTTCGAGGGATTTTTAAAGTTTTTTGGTTGATTTTGAGGGGTTGTTTTTAGTGTTTTTGTCGATTTCGAAAAACTTTTTTGGTTTTTTTTTTTTGATTGATTTCAATAGATTTGTTTGGTTAGAGTAACGGTAGTGTAATGCATGATGTCGGTGTCCCAATGGAAAAAAAAAATCAAGAAAAACAGAGTAGAAATGATCTACAACAGTTGGAATTGGCCTCAAAGTCGAACTAATAGATTCTTGGCACACTGTACGAGACTTGAGACATGCAAATTAAGGTTTCAGGGCCATGTCATGAAGATGAAGTAACAAGCTGTGTCAAAACACGAAAGCCAAGTCTTGGTGACTGTAAACTCGCATGAGCAAGTCACATTGACCCGTCATTGAGAGTTTACTGTCACAAGTTAAGTTACTTGCATAGGAATGGCAACGGGTTGGGGAATGCAATTCCCGTCCCCGGTTCACATGCCTTATCCTCGTCCCTGGTCCCTAGCAGGCACAGGAACCAAATCGAGTTCTTCACGAAGTTCAAGACAAAAATAAAAAAGATTTCCCTCCCCGTTTTATGTAAAAATGAAGTCATGATTCGTGGTTGTATTAGAAGAATGAAATCAATTTTTTTAAGAATGGCATCAGAAGCAGATAAATTAAAAATAATAATAAGAAGAATATAATATTACAAAAAGTTAGGATTATTATGATTATAAAGAAATATTAGAAAAATATATACAATACGGACTGAGAATGCATTACATGGTCCCGCCTTTAGACAATTGATAATACCCGTCCCTGCATACCTAGTTTTACGAGGGATCTCTTCCCCAACCACTCGAGTACAATTACCATGCCGCCTGGACGTGCATAGTTGTATGCAAGTTTAAGAGCGATGCCAAGTGGCATGGTAAATCGCGCACCCCTTGTTGGGTGCAACGACGACCGAATTAATATCGAATCCAGTTAAGCTTGATATATACATTCAGTGACGGGTGTCATTTATGACGTAGGTAGATATTAGTGAAGCAAATTCAGTTACGGAATTTGAAACCGCGATACATACAAAAGTGAATAGTATGCATTCACTGCTTTCAATTATGATATAGTATTTCCGACTTGATACAATATTTTCATGTGCGATCATTGTATACATAAATATTATGAGCATGATATATGTATAGAGTTTTTTAAAGCATGCTAAATGCTTACATTGCGATTATGATACACACGGAAAGGTTTTTGGTACGCGTGTGACGTCATGTACCGTGACACCAATGATATGAGATAGATTTGATCGTATGTAGGCTTGGGTCGGGCCTGCTCGAGCCTAGCTTGTTTCTTTTGTCCAACACCCAAGACTTTTTTGCGTGTTTGAAAGCTTGTCCTTACTCGCCTATAAATGAGTTGGGTTTGCCTACGGGCTAACAGGCGTAAAAATCATTTTACATTAAGTGGTAGTTATGTTTTTAGACTATTGTTATGAGTTATAATTAAGTGGGCATTGTCGAATTGGTAAGTATCAAGTTTTTTTCAGCTTTAATTATAAAAAGTTAATTAATTATAAAATTATTAACGAGTCAGGCGGGCATGCCCAATTTCTTTTTACAGCACCCAATTAATTAAAAAGTTAATCGTAGCAGATGAAGAGATATGGAAGAGTATGAAACTGAATTGGTTTGATGGTGTGTTTTGAAACCTCAAGCCTACACTACATATAGTGATAAAGAAACCATATGTAAGGGGTTTACAGTAGTGTCTGCTATAGACATCACGGGTGAACAGTAGCGTCTACTATAGATATCATGAGTGAAAAGTAGTGTCTGCTATAGACATCATGGGTGAATGATGTCATATCAACCGCAAGCGGACTTGGTTTTAATTAATATAAAATAAAATTAAAGAATGATATATCATGTATTTATTAACCAAAACATAATTTGAAAGTATGCTATAATCTATAAAGTAGTTAATAAATGTTGCAGTGAAGACCATTTTTGAAAGTGTAGGTGAATTATAGATACATAAATGATAATTATAAAAACTGATGTGATACAATTAAAAATATAAATGAATTGACATCAAAATCAACAGATGTCATGTAATTTGAAATTTCGTTTATCTATACTATATTATAAAATATTTGATAAAAACTCTTAAATGTCATTTTCTATGCATAGAGTACTGTTTATTGATGCATATTACTTGAAATTCAAGATTACAAGTAAATTGTGCGTGAGTACAACTTATTAAAACTTCATGTTTGAATTCATATAACTAACTTCAGATAAATATAATCAAATATAAGATAAACATCTCATTTTTAATATAAAAAAATCTAAAATATAATTAGGATACTCATTGTATTGTAACAGAATACTTTAATTTTTATATTTATGAAAAGTTACATTTTTAAATAAAAAATAAGTTGTTTCTTATTAAACCTAAATTAAATTAAAAAAATTTGAATTAAAGAAATTATACAACAAAACAAGAACTTTTAAATAGTTAATTTGATACTAATATCAATATATTTTTTTAAAGTTTTATGATATCTTTAAATTTATATTTTTTTCAAAAATAAAAATATTATTGTTTTTCTCAAAACCACATAAAACTGTATTATAACATCAACAAATGATAAAATAAAACGAAACATTAATATCGAGATATATCTCGCTACATTGTACGAGTACCATTCAAATTAGGTAAAATGAACCAAAAAAAAAAAAAAAAGTTAGATGTTTGTTACATTAATCTAAAAAGAAAATCTCTTTTAGACTTAAAAGAAAACTTGAATTTTGATACACCTAGGGGTTGTTTGTTTATTTTTTAATAGTTCTATTAAGAGGAAGCATCTAAATCGTTAAGAGGTAAATCATGTTTGGCAAAAAAAAATCTACCTCTTAATGGTTCTAAAACCATCTGAATGATTTTGTATTATGAGTCTTTTTTAACCATTCAACGCCCTAATTTTATTATAAATAATTATTAAATAATTATATTTCATTTTACATTATATCATGACAGCCTATTAATCATTCTGACTATTTAATCATTCTGTACTAAATCATTCGGCAACCGTAAAAAAGATAAAAGAAAATAAAAGGATAAAGTTGAGGGACCATTCATGTAAAATCGTGACTGGTTCGTTTATCTGCTCAATAAAACGTTATCTATCTTTGTTCTGTTCAGTTGTGTAAGAGAGAAAGGAGAAGAAGAGGGGTGTGTGTGTTTGTGTGTGTGTGGCAGCCAGAGACAACAATGTCATCGATTTCGCTATCGTTTCTACAGAGCGCATGCTCCTATTCAAATCTTCATCACCAGCAGAAGCTCTTCGTTCAACCGCCATTGATATCATCATCATGGTCTCAGTGGAAAAGAAGCTCTCTGACTGTAGAAGCCTCCGCCAGAACTCGTCAAGATAACAGAAAAGCACGTCATGTTCGTATTCGTAAGAAGGTAAAATTATCAACTCAGTAACCCTAATTTCTCTCTTGTATGCACTTGTCTCAATTTTGTGTCGTTTAATTTGTCGTAATTGAAGAATAATTCGCTTAGATTTTGACAATACATGTATTTTCTACATTACTAAAACAGGATCTACACATATGCATATACATTTTAGATTTTTATCTCAAATCAAATAGTACATTTGTTTGAATTTTTGACGCCAAGTTTTCCTAATTGTACTACTTGTGGTATTGTTCAATATATTCATCAATCCTGGTCGATTATATATATATATATATATATATATATATATATATATATATATGTGTGTGTGTGTGTGTGTGTGTGTGTCATTTTGGCATCCAATGTCAAACCGTAACTCTCAATAAATTTCTGCCTAAATGGTAAACACAGATAACAAATAAGAGGGAAATTAATAATTGTTCCGATCTAAACTGTAAAAATTCAAGGTATTTCCAACTGTTTGTGTACACATATTTAAAAACAAGTAGACTGCAGCTTCAGTATTTTTTGTTTCTTCTTGCTTGGCGGAGTAATTTCATGGAAGATTTTAGTTCCAGAGCATGATTTCCTCCTGGACTTTCCTTGATCTAGTCACTCACATATCAGCATAAAAATTACAGTTTCTGGGAACCTAATAATGCTTGTTATTCCCGTCGATGTGATTTTGACAAGAAACTTTGTATTGTAGGTGGAAGGGACACCTGAAAGACCAAGATTGTGTGTCTTTCGTTCCAACAAGCATCTATATGTTCAGGTGATTGATGATACTAAAATGCATACACTTGCATCAGCTTCAACAAAGCAGAAACCGCTCTCTGAGGAGTTTGATTACAGCTCTGGTCCCACTATTGTAAGTAGCATTTTTTTCAACAAAATTTATCACAGATAACACATAAAAACCCATTATACACACACAAGTAACCAAAAGGTTTGCTGATGTATGACATATGCCTCTCAAATGCTAGGAGGTTTCTAATGCCAATGTAAACCTATATTTTATACTCTAATTGATGAGGGTGAAAACTACTCCCTTCTCCAATCTTCTAGGGTTTGTGTGTTCAAATTCATGGAATTGCCTATGATGGTTGGTGCATTACTAGAACTAAAACTCGTAAGATGTTACATGGTTTTTGTTGCTTGCCAAAATGATTTGGAAGTCCTGGGGGATCTCAGATTTGATAATTGAATCTGCAACTGTAAACGGATAATATCCATCAACATATCTTTTGCTTTGAACACAAAAAGACTAGTGTATCCTGTAGGAAAAGATGATCATTCACATGTGAAAGTCTAAGATAAAAAGCTTTTCGTGTACCTTCCATGATGTGCAAATGTTAGGCTTTTGCAAAGTCTTATGTGTATGTGGGTTTTCAAGATCTTTATGTGGGCCTCCACCTAAATCGAGTTTTTTCGCTGTAATCCCTGTATTTTTTTTAATCTTCAAATTTCTAATTTAGTTTCTTGGTTCTGCATGATACTGTGATTGGTAAACTAGAGTACTGTGTCTTTAAAGTAGGATTGAAACTCTTATTTTGGAACAAAATGCAAATGAACCATTATTGCTAACATATGCATTACTAGTTTGCTCTTGCTACATTCTAATAATTTGCAGAGAATAGAACTAATAAAGAGTAGGCTTATGGATTGTTAAACATGTATATCATCTTCTTTTGGTTCAGTACTGGGCCTATATATACAAATATATATACATACATATATATTTGTATTTGTATTTGTGTGTGTGTGAGTGTATATATATCAGAAACTCCTCTTTGTGTATTTATAGCACCACTGGGATGACTGGATTTCGTGTAAAAGTGGGTGTTAACTTGGAGTTTGTTGGTGTTAGGATGTTGCTAAGAAAGTAGGGGAAGCCATTGCAAAGTCGTGCATGGAGAAAGGGATCACGACTGTGGCGTTTGATCGAGGTGGTTATCCTTATCACGGACGTATTCAGGCGCTTGCTGATGCGGCTCGAGAACATGGTCTTCAATTCTAGTTTCAATCTTGTCTTCTTATTCTTGTATCTTTCAAGTTTGAATCTTTCCATCTCCCAAGAAGATTTATGGTTGAAATATGCCCAAGTTGCATATATTTGTTAGTATTAAAATGATGGATCAAAGATTTATGCACTCTTTCTATCTTTTTAGTTTCACTGTAAAAAAGTAAAAATTAACATAAAAACCATACCAATAAATAAGTTTAATTAGCAAAGGGAAACAAAGCATTACTGGAAGTAGAAGCATATTTTACATTTGAATTATAAATGGTTCATATAAATTGTAGTGTGTTGGTTGGCCCGTAAGACGGAATTATCTAGGATGCATGTGCCCATAAGAAATCGTGGGGACATGTCTGTGAAGATACGGACTACCTGCACTTGGACAGAAAGACCATATGAAGCAGATACCTACAACAAGCCAAGCAGTTAGGAAGAAATGTGCAACTATGAATCTCATGGAGTTTGATATAAGTTAAATTCAAAAAAAATTGATCAATTTTGAGAATTCAAGAGAAGGTCACGACGAAACGAGCCGTTTGTGCTGCCCTTGTCAATTTTATTGAGTTTTTCAATCGTGGAGTGATAAATAGAAAAATTACGGAAAGCTACAATCCCCACTTTAAAGTTTCAATTTTCATCATTATAATAAAACTATGAGGTCGCCCCTACTTCTTAGAGCTCTCTTGCTGCCTTATAATAAGAATACTTAAATAATAACATTGTTTCAAACAACGATGTGTTTTTATGAGATTTGTGATATTTTCACAAATCAAAAAATGTTTTAAACATGTAATAGAAGTTGGTATGGTAGTTCCATTCCATTACAAATTTCCCTATTAATTAATTAATAAGAAACTAGTAAATAATTGATTAATTAAAGAGTAATTTCAGTTTTGGTCCCTGTGCTTTGTCATTTTTCTTTTTTGGATCCCTATAATTTTAATTGCAAATTTACCCTTATGGTATGCATATCTGCTTGGTTTTGGTTCCTAAAGCTAACAACATTAGCTTTCCTCCCGTTAACTCACCCCATGTGCCTTACCACATTGTAAAATTGTCTTTTTAGTCCACACCCTATGTGACTTGTCTTTTTAGATTAGAAACATAGTTTTATTTCCTATTTTTTAAATGACATATTTACATACAAAATGACAAAAATACCCCTAATGTATCAGGCACCTGATGGGGGAGTTAACACAAATTGGTCAAAAGGAACGAACTGTTAGACAAACATTTAAGGCCCTGAACAAGAACATCCAACATTTTTTATTTCTCTTCAAGAATGTTGTTTTATGTTTCATTGCATCCAAAACGATGTCAAAAACTAACCAGAATCACACCGTTTATTATAGTTTTTTTTTAATCATGAGAGCTTTTAATAAAACCATATAAAAATTCAACATGGTATAATTTCTCTCTTTCAACTGTTGTTTGGTCAGCTTGCATGTTTTTCGACTAATCTCATTGGTCCCTGTAGACTATAGAGCAACTAAAAAAATCTCTGGTAACCTTGCAGGACTCGAACCGTAAACCTAGCCTCAAAAGGTAAAATACCAGGAAGCTTGTAACTCAAAATGATATCGTATATGGCAAGTGTACAACTCTCGTCTACTTCAATCACCTCGTTATATTTAAATTTTTTACAAAAACGTAACAACCATCACCGTGAAATCATTGTATTTTATCATAAAAATAAGAGTAAACTAAAATTTTGGTCCCTGTGCTTTTTCGAAAATAACAATTTTTATTCTTGCAGTTTTGAAGTTACAAGATGGTCATCACAGTTCACAAAAAAGTCCAACCTTCTAATAGCCGTTAAAAGAAACTATTAAATAAGAGACATTTCGTTCTCTTGTTGATTTTTATCTTTTAATCAATCAAAATCAATTTTATAATTTAAGCCTTGTGGTTTGTGATTGGGTAAATAACAATAAGAAACCAATAAGAAGACAAAAGGATCCATCATTTTTTGACGTTAGAAGAAAGGACCAAACTCGGACGTCTTTTAGAACCATAATGATCATCTTATAATTTCAAAATTGCACGAACAAAAAGTGTTGTTTTTGACAAACCACAAAGGACCAAATTTGTAGTTTACTCTAAAAATAACAAATTAAATAAAATGACCATTGGTTTTCATATTCTTTTACAAGCATGCTTTAATAATATGAGTTATAAATCATCTCAAAAAAGAGAATAAATAACCTACTTTGCAGTATCCAATAAAAAAATCAATGCTAACAACTAATCTCATACGAGCCGACTAATCCCAGAACGACCACCTGTTTTACAGATATCTTAAAGTAATCATATTTGAACCTTCATGGCCATAAGATGATATTTATTTCTCCTTGAATTTGAACCTGCGACCTCCTCATACTTTTGACTTTTGAAGCCAAGCTCAAACCAATAAGGCACCACCCTTATAGTTCAATTTTGATTTTTTACTCAAAAAAATTGAATAAGAAGCTTGAAATTGAATGCCAAACAACATTTAATTCATGTATAACAACAATTTATAATTTGTTTCATTTCATTTGATTAATATATATTCATACACACAAAGGGTTTTAGTCCACATTCTGTTGCTCATGTTCACCAAAGAATACGAAAAAGCCAACCAATTGAAAAACTTACATGTCTTAACATTACAGATTTCATCAACAACCTAATATATTTACACTAAATCTTTCTTTCTAATACCTGTTGGAACACCATAACATACCGGTGCAGCTCCGATCAAAAATGGAAGCGTACAAGCTTCTCGAGCTTGTCCCATAAACGACCCAATCTTCGGTCTATGTTTACAACCGATTGTACAAATATCATCTTTACAAGGTTCAACAGACTTCTTTTTTGATGTTTTTTTCTTCCCCTTTCTTTTATCGTCATCTATCTTCAATTTTTCCAATTCCACTGAAATTTGAGAGCATTGCGCGCAACCTGCTGACGTAATTGAGCGTGTTCTTATACATGCATCAAGCATTGCCTTACCAAACCGGTCAATATCCTTGTCCGTTACTTCCCATAGGTTGGCAACTATGACAGGCGAACCTGCATGGAGATAATACAGCGGAGCACCTTTTGGGGTATAGCATCCATTCAAAGATATAGACCCACTGCTGCACCCCATTAAAAGAGTTGCCGCACACCTATCGAGTTTCTGGATCTCATCACCCGGAATATATTGTACCCCTAAATCACCATACAGAACAAAAATGTGTCAAAACTACATAAAAAATACCTCTGTTTTTTAAAATAATCATGTAAAGATGCATGGCATACCACTTCCATGGCCAAAGTACATGAAAAGGTCATGGCTTTTCAAGGCCACACTCAGTTCATCCACGGTAGGTGAGGTCCCAGTCGTCCCCTGAATAAAAATTAAAAATAAATGAACGCTCAATAACACACAAGTGTCGATATAAGTTATTTTCCTAGTTATAATTAGAGCGGATACAAAAAAAATCAAAACACTAGCCTGCAAATTTTGATCTTTGAACCAACTCCCAAATTCTGCTTCCGTGCTGCTGAGGTCACCGCCTGGATTCAGCAAATAATATGCATCGAGTGGATCGATCATAGGGAATACAGCAGAATCCGTTCCAACCTTTTCCTGATAATGGCAGCATCTATCATATGTGAAGGAAATGCTGGCAACGGATGGCATACGGTAGACCTCCTGGTTTCTCAATACGGGCAGATTTTCCCATGGTAGCATCTGGCAGACCCATCAGCAAGAAAACATGCTCATATTACTAAAAATTTGAAACTGAAAGCCATAGAAACAAATTTGATCCAGTTCCATCGAAACTAAAATAGAAGCTAGAAGGCTTATATCACAATGTAAATCCTGCCTTTCAGGACATTCTAAAAATATAAGTTGCAAAAAAATCACCTCGCTAGGGCCCTGTTTTAGGCATTTCCTTATAAGAAAGATGCAGTATACCTCAAAAGCAAGTGTTATTTTTCAAGTTTACCCTTAATTATAAGATAGAGAAATTCATCAATCCCTCTGTAATTAAGAGTAAAATTGTTATTTAGTTGATTAAAAGGTGTAATAGTTACATATTTCTAAAACAATGTGTCATTTTCATAGTGAACCTGTATTTTGGGACGGAGGGAGTACAAATTAATGAATAGGTGGTGCCCCATAGATGAACGTGCAAGACCAGGCAGAACTCCCAAACTACATTCAAGTTCATTTAAGGGGAGATGACAAGACTACCTGTATATCGAAGTCCGGCACCAATATAACAGGTTCTCTATCTGGGAAATCTTCCTCTTCAATTTCGTGGACTGCATTTATTATCAGTTCGGAAACTGACAAGGATAAGCTGTCAATACTGTCTTGCTTTCTAGAACATTCCCCAGGACTTCTGTCGTTGTTACATTCAATTCCACCAACATAGCATCCGTTGTTCAAAATTAGATCTGATAGGCATTCTGTTCGTTGAGAGGCATGTCGAGCACCTCCAAGTACTAATTTGAGAATACTCTCATGCACATCAACTTTACACTTGGATTTCAAATCTTTCTTTAGTTTCTTCTGTAGAGAATCAAGGTGCTTGGTGTCTAACCATTCTCCCAAAAGCAAGTGTTTCCAAGAGCCAAACCATATATCTTCAATGTCCCTGAGAAAAAGAGAAACTTATATTGTCATATCCAACTAAGATTGTATTCCGGAGTAAGAAAACACTGTAGATGGTAAAATTATGATTTAATGGCCTCTCTATTTCATGTAGGAAAAAATGTGCATATATTAACAAAAGGTGGAACAAAAATGAGCATCATAAACGAACTTTTATAACGATTTATATACATGTATACTCTTAACAAAAAACACAACAGAAGAACCACTAGTCCGTGATATGTGATTCTGTTCACGAACTATGCAGATGCAGATAATGATAAAATTAGCATAACCCTTACCTCAGAAAAACACTGAGGCATTCATCAAGTTTTCTCCTCTGAGTCCACCATAATAACCTGTTCTTTTTAGTATCCTCAAGAGGGTACGCCGACGATGATGTGTAATTTTCCTCTAAAATCATTTTGAACAGTGGTGCAACTTCATCTACGATAGTGTGGCCCCAAGGACAATGCCACGATTTGACAGAAGTCTTTTTGTTGAACAAGAAACTAGAACTTGAATCTTCACCTTCTTCTGAACTTTCTAAAGGTATCAAGAAAACATCAGATTAGAATACAATTGTAAACATGTTTCTCCAAAAGGGTCTGAATCGAGAAGGTTACCTGATAAGATGTAATCAATAGGCAGAACTATGACAACTGGTATGCTATCTGAATTGAAACGAGACAGCATGATCCATGCATGAGTAGAAGGATTATATGGCAATAATTCTCTCAGTAAGCTGGCAAAATCATCTCCAAGCATACTGATACAAACAATGGTCACGTGGGGAAGCCCTTGAAGAAACTTCAATACGAATCCTTCAAGATCCAGAACTGATTCGGGAGCCAACCTGCAGGGATGGGGATTAGAAAACCAGGCTGCGTGTGTGCTTAACACAGTCGGGGTGTATTTGGTACGCGAATGGGGCTGGACGAGCAAGACTGAGGTAGATGGGTGAAAGAATCGTGAAAGGTTTTAGAATTTTAATTTGACATGTGTAGTTTAGTAATTTACCAACCTTATCTCATCTCCCTTATTTTTGTTCCACCTATTTTGGTGAGGCAAAAAAAAATGCATTTTTGTCCCACTCCGTTTAATGTCATGTTAAACGTGGGACAACAAGTTTTTGTTCTGTTCTGTCCGGCATACCAAACACACCTTCATAGTTTTATGTGAAGAGGCACAATACCTACTGAGAGAGATTGAGCTGGGGAGACAAGAACCCTGAAAACCAAAAATACATGCACAAAATCATATGCAGAGTCTACATGTCCCAATAAACAAAAGCTGGTTGGCCATTTAATAATAGAATCCAGAATCACTATCCTAAATTCATGGATCATGAATTAAATTCACTTCAAGATTCTGTAAGAATTTATGTACTGTGTATAGGTTAAAAAAACGAAAGTGAGCATTCTAGTTTAAAAACGAAAATTTACCATATCAATCACAAGATGGTTGTCTATTTGTTTCAATTTTTACCAACTACCAACAAAAATTCATTTCTCTTCATGTGGCTACTAGTAAGTTTTGGATCAATAGACTCTAGATAGTTATCAACAAAAGGAAGTATAAAGTAAGAGACCCAGATTAAAACCTAGGAAATTGTATAATGTGTTCTGATACTATGAACACAAAGGCTATTTCAGATGAGTATGATTATAACTATATGTGATTCACATTGTTTGCTTCATCAACCGGACCCAAAAATCACAAGTGCTTGATTTTGACAACTATGCCAAAAAGAATGCTTATTGAATTACATAAGATAAATATTACTCGTCATTGAAGACGCATAATGTGCAAACACACGAGTATATCATTAAAATATTCAATGAAGCTTATATTGGCACAAAACACTTATAGTGGTAAGAGAAATCATACTTCATTTGCACCTCAAGCAACGTTAGTAATAATAGTCGTATCTTCCATAAAGTAAAGAATAAAATCAACAATGATATTAACAAAAATAAGAAAAATGAAAGGACTCCTTGTAACTCGATAAAAGGAAGAATTATTTTAATCTAATCAAAAGGTATCACCGGTTAAGCAAGATAGAAGAGGTTCATATCCAAAGTTAACAACAAGAAGTGTAAGCTAAATGCCTAACTAGAGAAAGGATATACTCCACCATAGATAAGTAACATCAATATAATTAATAAAATACTGCACCAACATATGGGAATTTCATAATTGCTTTAATAATGCAAGAAAAATAGTTACTTTTCCAAATACTTACATCAACATCTGTAGTTTTCTGATCTTTGTGCTTCTCAACAGAAGAAAACAGCTGGTGATTAAGATGAGTTCCAAGTGACGCTTGATGAAAATAGGATGCCCACTGACATTCAGATAGAACATTGCTAGAAGATGACAACATAGAAAATGCCTTGTTTGAGTGAGGAAGTGTATACAAAACAGCAAGCAACCGCGAAACCTGTGATGTAGTCATCAATGACCAAAATCAAACACAATTGGAATAAGGAAGTTCATGTAGTCAAACCATTGAATTCTCTAATAAGAACTCCCAAATCGCATGCATAAAAAATCAACATAGAAGAAGAAATCTCGGAGGATCTCTAGTGAGTAAGATATATAAAAAATATATCAAAAACCATAAGGGGGCATTTGGTTCGCAGAATGGAATTTAGTGAAAAATTGGATCAAAGGAATTTGACTTTGAAGCAATTGGAATCAAATTTGATGGAATTTGACACGTTTTTGGTTGGTAGGGAGGGTGGGGGTGGCAGCTGCAATGACGACAATAGTGGCCTGGTGGTATTGGTGGTTAGCGGTGGTTGGGGGTGTGAGGGGTGGAGCAGAGGTGGGTGTGGGTGTGGGGGTGGCAGTTGTGATGACAATAGGCCATTAGTGGTGGGGCGAGGGCGGTGGGTGGGCTAGGAGTGGGTGGCGGGGGGTGGTAGCAGTGACGACGATAGTAGTGTCAAGGTGGTCGGTTAGGTGGGGTTGGGGTTGGGGTTGTAGTTGTGACAACGACAGTAGTCACATGGTGGTGGCGTGGTGGTCAAGGGTGGGTGGCAGGATGGTAGTTGTGATGACAACAGTGGTGGCATGGTGGTTGGGTGGCGCGGGTTGGTTGTGATGACAACAATTGTGGATTGATGGTCAGTGGTGGGTTGGGGTAAGGTAGGGTGGGGGTGG